TTCAGTGACTAAGCCTCTATGGTCCCATTCTCGCAGTCCTCACTTGGGCACAATTCCCACCAAGGTGGTCAGAGTTTTGCCTGCAGGTCTAAAGCAGGATCGGGCCCCATAAAGTTTCCGAACAATTAATAGATGTGTAATTAAAAACCAATAGATATCTTTACATCTAAATTAAATCCTCCCTCGAGACACTTCAGTTCAAGTGTAGCTAAATGATTTCTACAGCTTGGCCTAATGTAGAGTGCAGTGTGCACAGCAGGCAGTCAGGCTAACCAGAGCTTTAATGCTTGCTTGACTGAGGAGTATATTAATGATTAATATCATAGCTCCGAAGAGCCCTAGTCCTGGGCCAGGATCCAATTGTACTAGGTGCTGTACAAACACAGAACAAAAGGAAAGGCCCTGGCTGGAAGTATAAGGCATGAGAGATTAGATGGATACAAAGATGGATACAAAGGATACTAGAATTCTTTGAGGGGATCAACAAGCACGTGGACAAGAGAGATCCAGTGGTTATAGTTTTCAGAGTAGCAGCCGTGTTAGTCTGTATTCGCAAAAAGAAAAGGAGGACTTGTGGCACCTTAGAGACTAACACATTTATTTGAGCATAAGCTTTTGTGAGCTACAGCTCACTTCATCAGATGGTTATAGTGTATTTAGGTTTTAGGAAAGCCTTTGACAAGGTACCTCACCAAAGGCTCGTAAGCAAAGTAAGCTGTCATGGGATAAGAGGGATGCTCCTCTCACGGATTGGTAACTGGTTAAAAGATAGGAAACAAAGGGTAAGAATAAATGGTCAGTTTTCAGAATGGAGAGAGGTAAATAGTGGTGTCCCCCAGGGGTCTGTATTGGGCCCACTCCTATTTAACATATTCATAAATGATCTGGGAAAAGGGGTAAACAATGAGGTGGCAAATTTTGCAGATGATACAAAACTGCTCAAGATAGTTAAAACCCAGGCAGACTGTGAAGAGCTACAAAAGGATCTCTCAGAACTGGGTGACTGGGCAACAAAATGGCAGATGGAATTAAATGTTGATAAATGTAACGTAATGCACATTGGAAAACATAATCCCAACTATACATATAAAATGATGGGGTCTAAATTAGCTGTTACCATTCAAGAAAGAGATCTTGGAGTCATTGTGGATAGTTCTCTGAAAACATCCACTCAATGTGCAGCGGCAGTCAAAACACTGAACAGAATGTTGGGAATCATTAAGAAAGGGGTAGCTAATAAGACAGAAAATAGCATATTGCCTCTATATAAACCCATGGTACGCCCACATCTTGAATACTGCATATATTAGATATATTGGATATATTGGAATTGAAAAAGGTTCAGAAAATGGCAACAAAAAATGATTATGGGTATGGAATGGCTTCCATATGACGACAGATTAATAAAACTGGGACTTTTCAGCTTGGAAAAGAGACAACTAAGGGGGGATATGATAGAGGTCTATAAAATCATGATTGGTGTGGAGAAAGTAAATAACGAAGTGTTATTTACTCCTTCTCATAACACACAAACTAGGGGTCACCAAATGAAATTAATAGGCGGCAGGTTTAAAACAAACAAAAGGAAGTATTTTTTCACACAACGCACAGTCAACCTGTGGAACTCTTTGCCAGAAGATGTTGTGAAGGCCAAGACTATAACAGAGTTCAAAAAAAAACTAGATAAATTCATGGAGGATAGGTCCATGAATGGCTATTAGACAGGATGGGCAGGGATGGTGTCGCTAGCCTCTGTTTGCCAGAAGCTGACCTGGCATTGGTCACTGTCGGAAGATAGAATCCTGGGCTAGATGGACTTTTGGTCTGACCCAGTATGGCCGTTCTTATGTACAAACAGACATGCATAAAATGACAGAAAGAGCTCCTGGATTGTCCAGTCTATTCCCCAGGCAGGTCAGGATAGTCCCCTTCAATATGTTCTCCTGAGCTCTGTTAACTTCATATTTTGCCTGATGAGATGAGCAAACACCTGTGATAACACTGCTGTGAAATTTGCTGCACACTATGTCATTTTGTAGCTCTCCAAGTAATTGATATCTCAGTGCTGCAGAACAATCATCCAACCTGTTGAAACTATGGACCATTCTCAGCCCTGGTGTAAACTGGCATGCAGAGGTATTCCATACCCTCTGTGGTGGTCAGAGCTGGGCCATGTACCAACTCTGTATAGCCCAGAGAGAAGAGGAGGGATCAAAGCTCTTATTCCAGACCAGAAGCTGAAATTGCAGCAGCATTAGTTCACTTTGGCTTCTTACCATGGCTACAAAGGGTATGCCTACACTACGAAATTATTAGGTCAAATTTATAGAAGTCGTTTTTTTAGAAATCGTTTTTATATATTCGAGTGTGTGTGTCCCCACAGAAAATGCTCTAAGTGCATTAAGTGCATTAACTCGGTGGAGTGCTTCCACAGCACCGAGGCTAGAGTCGACTTCCGGAGTGTTGCACTGTGGGTAGCTATCCCACAGTTCCCGCAGTCTCCGCTGCCCATTGGAATTCTGGGTTGAGATCCCAATGCCTGATGGAGCTAAAACATTGTCGCGGGTGGTTCTGGGTACATATCGTCAGGCCCTCGTTCCCTCCCTCCCTCCGTGAAAGCAGCAGCAGACAATCGTTTCGCGCCTTTTTTCTTGAGTTACCTATGCAGACACCATACCCCGGCAAGCATGGAGCCCGCTCAGGTAACCGTCACCGTATGTCTTCTGGGTGCTGGCAGACGCGGTACTGCATTGCTACACAGCAGCAGCAATCCCTTGCCTTGTGGCAGCAGACGGTGCAGTAGGACTGGTAGCCGTCATCGTCATGTCCGAGGTGCTCCTGGCCACATCGGCCAGGAGCGCCTGGGCAGACATGGGTGCAGGGACTACATTAGAAGTGACTTGACCAGGTCATTCTCTTTAGTCCTGCAGTCAGTCCTATTGAACCACCTTATGGTGAGCAGGCAGGTGATACGGATTGCTAGCAGTCCTACTGTACCATCTTCTGCCAGGCAGGCAAGAGATGAAGATGGCTAGCAGTCCTACTGCACCATCTTCTGCCGAGCAGCCATGAGATGTGGATGGCTTGCAGTACTTCTGCACCTTCTGCTGCCAGCCAAAGATGTAAAAGATAGATGGAGTGGATGAAAACAAGAAATAGACCAGATTTGTTTTGTACTCATTTGCTTCCCCCTGTCCCCCGTCTAGGGGACTCATTCCTCTAGGTCACACTGCATTCACTCACAGAGAAGGTGCAGCGAGGTAAATCTAGCCATGTATCAATCAGAGGCCAGACCAACCTGCTTGTTCCAATAAGAACAATTACTTAGGTGCACCATTTCTTATTGGAACCCTCCATGAAGTCCTGCCTGAAATACTCCTTAATGTAAAGTCACCCCCTTTGTTGATTTTAATTCCCTGTAAGCCAACCCTTTAAGCCATGTCGTCAGTCGCCCCTCCCTGCGTCAGAGCAACGGCAGACAATCGTTCCACGCCTTTTTTGTGTGCGGATGCCATACCAAGGCAAGCATAGAGGCCGCTCAGATCACTTTGGCAATTAGGAGCACATTAAACACCACACACATTATCCAGCAGTATATGCAGCACCAGAACCTGGCAGAGCAATACCGGGCGAGGAGGCGACATCAGCGCGGTCACGTGAGCGATCAGGACATGGACACAGATTTCTCTCAAAGCATTGGCCCTGCCTATGCATGCATCATGGTGCTAATGGGGCAGGTTCATGCTGTAGAATGCCGATTCTGGTCTTGGGAAACAAGCACAGACTGGTGGGACCGCATAGTGTTACAGGTCTGGGACGATTCCCAGTGGCTGCGAAACTTTCACATGCGTAAGAGCACTTTCATGGAACTTTGTGACTTGCTTTCCCCTGCCCTGAAGCGCATGAATACCAAGATGAGAGCAGCCCTCACAGTTGAGAAGCGAGTGGCGATAGCCCTGTGGAAGCTTGCAACACCAGACAGCTACAGGTCAGTTGGGAATCAATTTGGAGTGGGCAAATCTACTGTGGGGGCTGCTGTGATGCAAGTAGCCAACGCAATCAAAGATCTGCTGATATCAAGGGTAGTGACCCTGGGAAATGTGCAGGTCATAGTGGATGGTTTTGCTGCAATGGGATTCCCTAACTGTGGTGGGGCCATAGACGGAACCCATATCCCTATCTTAGCACCGGACCACCAAGCCAGCGAGTACATAAACCGCAAGGGGTACTTTTCAATAGTGCTGCAAGCTCTGGTGGATCACAAGGAACGTTTCACCAACATCAACATGGGATGGCCGGGAAAGGTACATGACGCTCACATCTTCAGGAACTCTGGTCTGTTTCAAAAGCTGCAGGAAGCGACTTTATTCCCAGACCAGAAAATAACTGTTGGGGATGTTGAAATGCCTATAGTTATCCTTGGGGACCCCACCTACCCCTTAATGCCATGGCTCATGAAGCCGTACACAGGCAGCCTGGACAGTAGTCAGGAGCTGTTCAACTACAGGCTGAGCAAGTGCAGAATGGTGGTAGAATGTGCATTTGGTCATTTAAAGGCGCGCTGGCGCAGTTTACTGACTTGCTTAGACCTCAGCGAAACCAATATTCCCACTGTTACTACTGCTTGCTGTGCGCACCACAATATCTGCAGACGTGTGAGATATTGTGAGAGAAAGGGGGAGATGTTTATTGCGGGGTGGGAGGTTGAGGCAAATCGTCTGGCTGCTGGTTATGCGCAGCCAGACACCAGGGCGGTTAGAAGAGCACAGGAGGGCGTGGTACGCATCAGAGAAGCTTTGAAAACCAGTTTCATGATTGGACAGGCCACAGTGTGAAAGTTCTGTTTGTTTCTCCTTGATGAAACCCCCCACCCCTTGGTTCACTCTACTTCCCTATAAGCCAACCACCCTCCCCTCCTCCCTTCGATCACCACTTGCAGAGGCAATAAAGTCATTGTTGCTTCACATTCATGCATTCTTTATTCATTCATCACACAAATAGGGGGATGACTACCAAGGTAGCCCAGGAGGGGTGGTGGAGGAGGGAAGGAAAATGCCACAGAGCACATTAAAAGTTTACAACTTTAAAATTTATTGAATGCCAGCCTTCTGTTTTTTGGGCAATCCTCTGGGGTGGAGTGGCTGGTTGGCCGGAGGCCCCCACACCGCATTCTTGGGCGTCTGGGTGTGGAGGCTATGGAACTTGGGGAGGAGGGCGGTTGGTTACAGAGGGGCTGTAGTGGCAGTCTGTGCTCCAGCTGCCTTTGCTGCAGCTCAACCATACACTGGAGCATACTGGTCTGATCCTCCAGCAGCCTCAGCATTGAATCCTGCCTCCTCTCATCACGCTGCCGCCACATTTGAGCTTCAGCCCGCCACTTACTCTCTTCAGCCCGCCACTTACTCTCTTCAGCCCGCCACCTCTCCTCCCGGTCATTTTGTGCTTTCCTGCACTCTGACATTATTTGCCTCCATGCATTCGTCTGTGCTCTGTCAGTGTGGGAGGACAGCATGAGCTCAGAGAACATTTCATCACGAGTGTGTTTTTTTTTCTTTCTAATCTTCACTAGCTTCTGGGAAGGAGAAGGTCCTGTGATCATTGAAACACATGCAGCTGGTGGAGAAAAAAAAAGGGACAGCGATATTTAAAAAGACACATTTTATAAAACAGTGGCTACACTCTTTCAGGGTAAACCTTGCTGTTTACATACATAGCACATGTGCTTTTGTTCCAAGGTCGAATTTTGCCTCCCCCCACCGCGTGGCTACCCCCTCAACCCTCCCCCCTCCCCGTGGCTAACAGCGGGGAACATTTCTGTTTAGCCACAGGCAAACAGCCCAGCAGGAACAGGCACCTCTGAGTGTCCCCTGAAGAAAAGCACCCTATTTCAACCAGGTGACCATGAATGATATCTCACTCTCCTGAGGATAACACAGAGAGATAAAGAACGGATGTTGTTTGAACGCCAGCAAACATACACTGCAATGCTTTGTTGTACAATGATTCCCGAGTACGTGTTACTGGCCTGGAGTGGTAAAGTGTCCTACCATGGAGGACGCAATAAGGCTGCCCTCCCCAGAAACCTTTTGCAAAAGCTTTGGGAGTACATCCAGGAGAGCCGCGAATGCCAGGGCAAATTAATCCTTTCACATGCTTGCTTTTAAACCATGTATAGTATTTTAAAAGGTACACTCACCGGAGATCCCTTCTCCACCTGCTGGGTCCAGGAGGCAGCCTTGGGTGGGTTCGGGGGGTACTGGCTCCAGGTCCAGGGTGAGAAACAGTTCCTGGCTGTCGGGAAAACCGGTTTCTCTGCTTGCTTGCTGTGAGCTATCTACAACCTCATCATCATCATCATCATCACCATCTTCCTCATCCCCAAAACCTGCTTCCGTGTTGCCTCCATCTCCATTGAAGGAGTCAAACAACACGGCTGGGGTAGTGGTGGCTGAACCCCCTAAAATGGCATGCAGCTCATCATAGAAGCGGCATGTTTGGGGCTCTGACCCGGACCGGCCGTTCACCTCTCTGGTTTTCTGGTAGGCTTGCCTCAGCTCCTTAAGTTTCATGCGGCACTGCTTCGGGTCCCTGTTATGGCCTCTGTCCTTCATGCCCTGGGAGATTTTCACAAAGGTTTTGGCATTTTGAAAACTGGAACGGAGTTCTGATAGCACGGATTCCTCTCCCCATACAGCGATCAGATCCCGTACCTCCCGTTCAGTCCATGTTGGAGCTCTTTTGCGATTCTGGGACTCCATCGTGGTCACCTCTGCTGATGAGCTCTGCATGGTCACCTGCAGCTTGCCATGCTGGCCAAACAGGAAATGAGATACAAAAGTTCACGGTTCTTTTCCTGTCTACCTGGCCAATGCATCTGAGTTGAGAGTGCTGTCCAGAGCAGTCACAATGGAGCACTCTGGGATAGCTCCCGGAGGCCAATACCATCAAATTGTGTCCACAGTACCCCAAATTCGAGCCGGCAAGGCCGATTTAAGCGCTAATCCACTTGTCAGGGGTGGAGTAAGGAAATCGATTTTAAGAGCCCTTTAAGTCGAAAAAAAGGGCTTCATCGTGTGGACAGGTGCAGGTTTACATCTATTTAACGCTGCTAAATTCGACCTAAAGTCCTAGTGTAGACCAGGGCTAAGAGACCCATCCATTTCGCAGAGACTCAGCTTCTCCACAGGACCTGAGAGGTTCAGGGCCTTCCCCCCGCAAACTCCTCAAGGCCCCAAACTATCCCCACTAGGGAAGATTTTTGGTCAGAAACAACTGCCAGGGAAGCTTGCAGAGTTCCCTGTCCCCTGTCTGTGGGTTTCTTCCTTAGAGTGGGAGACCTGGTGTTTGCCGTTAATTAGGCTAAGGGGGCATTCAGCAGTATTTGTAGTCCAGATACTGGGCCAAATTCTGCCCTAATTACACCTCTGGGGAAACTGCTGACCTACATGGAGTAAGGATGTGAGTGTTAAATTGGACAGAAAAATATGGAACAAAATAAGTCAAAATATTATAAATTCCTCTCTGCTTTTATGCCTTTGTATAATCCACTAAAAAACCCTATTTTTGTATGTGCTGAATCCTCATCCCTACAATTAATAGAGAGGCGCAAAAGAAATGGATAAATGATAATGTGCAGGTATCCCCCAGGGGCTTGCCACACTCACAATATTTGGTGTTTTTCTTAATGCTCCAGTTCCCGCAGTCTTGTGAGGATCTCAACTTTGTTTAGATAGATATATACACAGCGTACGTTTCTAGCCCTGGTGATTGAAGGAGAATATGGGCTTCTAGAAAAAGAAATCCACTGGGGATGGAGTAAGGAGAGGTGGTGACTGCTTGAGGGAGTAAGCTGAAAGGTAAGGTAGTGTCTGCTATAGGGAAATGACTAAAGGCTCAAAAAACAGAAGGCAAATAAAAATAACCTGAAACAACATATCTTAAAATCTCATGATTTGGGGGAGGGAGGGGCTGGCTCATCATTTTTTAACACTTAGGACTGGCAATTCTGCACACACTATGAGCTGCCTCAAAATTACAGTTTCCTGGGGTGACCTACACACCAGGGTCAATTTAATACTTGATGCACTGAAACTTGAGCAGTTCATCTTAGGCCTCATTAAAGCAAAATGGAAACTCACAGATCCATGGGAACGATGGTTCTTTCACGCTGTGCTAACTGTGAAACACCTAATAGTTCACTGCTGGAAAGCTATAACATCTCCTAAGACTGAAGCCTTCTATAATGAACTTCGCTTTGCCACTTGCATCAACTAATGAAGTGATCGAGTGAAAAGGAAGGTGGGGTGGGAGGTGGGGGGGAAGAACCTGATGTTCATGTATTTGAATTCTTCAGAATTCCCTTTTTCACAATTCTCTGACAAGAACCTGTGCACTTCTACTGGATGATCAGATACTGCAGCGATGGACAGCAGTATAAAACTCTAATAGTATTGGACATTCTGAGCTAAATCCTGTGTCCCCACTTCCTTGGGAGTAAAGGTCAGTCACAGCTACGCACTCTGGCTGGGCTCCAGTAGTAGAATCCTTGAGCTAAGCGGCTCTCCCCTTGGAGACATACTCTGTGACTCTCCCACGGATAACACCGACCTCCCTGTTGGAACGTAGAGCCATCCCAGAGGGCTGTCAGTTTGGAGATAATGAGGGGACCGAGCAATCCTACAATGGGGCGTGTATGCCACACTGGTACTGAGAAGTTTAATGGAAGCTTCAAGACTCAATTAACCTTCCTGTTGACACCTGGAGGGGTGTGAAGTAGGTCGATTAGCAAGGCCACCTGGAGTCAGATTTCCTTAAAAGAGCAGAGAAAGTTCAGTGAGAGAGAGGAGGCTAGAAATTCCTGCACTCTAAGGGCTTGTCTTCACTGACAGTGCTATGGCAGCACAGCCGCATGGTAGCACATTAGTGAAGATGCTACTATGCTGATGGGAGAAGCTCTCCCATCGACATAGCGCTGTCTACCTGGGGGGTTAAGTCAGTATAACTACGTCACTCAGAGGTGTGGATTTTTCCACATCCCTGAGCAAAATAGCTATACCACTACAGGTCTGTAGTGTAGATCTGGCCTAAATATCGAGGAAGACCATGGAAGGGCTAAAGTTCAAGCCTGGGAAAGGTATAAGGGGTTTAAGTTTGTACTTTTGGTTTGAGAATTGGGATTTGTTAGAGAACTCCAGGGAAGAATCCTGCAAGTCATGACCCTGCACAAGGAGTGAGATCTGAAACCTCTGAGAAATACAGGTACACACAGGGCCCAGGAAGGGGCTGTGAGAAAGGCCTGCAGACCAACTCAGATAGGAAGAAGCCCAGAGAGGTAGCAGGGGTGGGTCTGAATACACAGACCACGCCTGCTTAATACAGGGTCCCTGTGCTGGAACCCAGAGGAGCAGGAGGGCCTGGGTTCCCTGACCAGTCAGGTAGCCACTCTCCACCCACCAGGATGAAGATTTGTGAAAGCTTTGGCATGAGAAGGGGTAAGGACTGTAGGGTCCAGAGCTGGGGGCTGAAAACATGACATAAGGACGTTGGACTTCTGTTGTGTTGGATTCTGTTACCCTGAAAGGGTGGAAATAAAACATGACCTGGATGGACAACTGAGTAAGGAGAAGAGGCCGACCACTGCAGGTCCATCAGCTGGGGTGCTAGACAATAGAGAGTTGTTATGCCACATCTGTGCACAAGGGGATGCACCAGTGGTGAGTCAGTTCTTCTACAAATGCCCACTCCCTTCTACCATAGGAGTGGCCAATGGCCCCACACAGGCAAGAAGGGGGATCCATGGCCGCAACAGCTCCCCTCCCACTCAAGGAAGGGTAGAGACAGCCTCCTGTAATCCCCCTACACTGGCATTTATTGTAGGGGGGTTCTGTCTGAGCCAGCATCCTCTCATCCTCAGACCCCCTTTCTCCCTTCACAGCTCACTCTGAGGCTCCTGCAGCCGCAGGTCACACTGGTTTCCAGGGTGGAAGCATGGGGAAGGGGAGAGACCAGGATCAGCAGAAGCTAGTGGAGGGGTTGAAAGCTTATTTGCATGAGCTCCCATTCTCTTCTGAGGCTTCAAAGGATGGGATTAAGGCATAGCTATGAAGCCATGTCATGCCCCTCACCTCATAGGCTTGTCCTGGTCAGGCTGATGCATAGCTCCCCTCAGTAAATTTGGGGACTGAAGATTTGCTCTGCTGTGAAGAAAAGTTACCATTCAGTGAAATTCCATCTAATACTGTAATGGAGAAAGTAATCAGTGAGGGCCTGCTTCCCCTGAGGGGCTGAGCATCCTCAAGCATCCACTGCCTTTGTTTTGAGGCCACTCATCTCCTTGTAGGATTGAGCCCCATCCATGTAAAGTTCAAGTAAAGGCACAGTATCTCTGATGTAGAAAGTGAAATAAATAAATAAATAAAGCTGGTCAGAAAGTGAATTGTTTCCCAGTGAAAATTTTCAACAAAAAAAGACAACCTGGAAAGTGAAAATGTTTCATTTCAGGGGTCGGGAGGGCTTCAGATTTTTTTTCCACAAAAAAATCCAATCCATTTAATCAAAAAAACATTTTGTGTTAAAAAGCCTTGTTCATTTTGTAAGACCTTGTTTTCATAGAATCATAGAATATCAGGGTTGGAAGGGACCTCAGAGGTCATCTAGTCCAACCCCGTGCTCAAAGCAGGACCAATCCCCAATTTTTGGCCCAGATCCCTAAATGGCCCCCTCAAGGATTGAACTCACAAGCCTGGGTTTAGCAGGCCAATGCTCAAACCACTGAGCTATCCCTCCCCCCACACAAGATGTATTGATTTAACTATCTCTGTATAGCTGAAGTGGTACAACCCTCCTAGTGTAGATGCAATTATACTGGTATAAAAGTGATTATATTGGTATAGTGTATTCCTGTATCAGAAGGGGAATTTGTCATATAAGGGACCTTTACACTGTATATCTGCGCCACAGGAGGAAGGTTGTACCAGTGTAATTATTTCAGTATTTTCACACCTCTAACTAAAATAGCTATAGTGGTACAATAACTGTGAGTATATAAGGACACACACCAGGAGAGAGCTGAATACCCTTCTGGCCAGTGATTTAAACAGCCCATGTGTTCTCCAAACTCAACTGTGGTTTTACAGAAAGCAGTTACTATGTAGTAGGAAAATAACGTGAGAAATCCTAGAGGAGCATGTAATGGGCCGGTTTCACTGCTGGTGAGAACACGCTCAATTTCATTAGTCAGTGAAGTTGCAAGCAGTTTGGACCAGTATTTTACAGTGTTTTTTCTGAATTTATTTTCTTCAGCCAGTGTTCAAAGCACAGGGAGCGGCGGGGGACCCTACTGCACTGCGGAATAAATCTGAGCTGGGGAGAATATTACTGACAGAGCTGGCTAGTCACAAAAAATGTCATCAACTGGTTTGATTTTTTTGATCAAAATTTTGAAATGTGAAAAGTTTTACCCAGTTCTACTTAGTAATAGCTACATATTCAAAAGTTCAGAGGCTGGGTTCCGAAGAACCCAAAAATTAGAATGCCTTACTGAACCATACTGGAACATCCATTGTGCTAGGGACTGTACAAACGCAGAATACAAATTTCTACTCTGAAGAGCTTAACTTGCCCTAATTCCAACATAGGAGGACTCCATGTTTCTAAAATTAAATAGGCTGTTTATTAAAAGAACTATTTACAGAGGTGCTGTAACTGCAGTTAATGTTCTAGCCATGTGCACACAGACTGACTTCTTGACTATAACTTTGCTACATACGCTTTTCACTAATGACTGAACTAAATTTGGTTGCAAGGGTCC